AGCAAACAGGATCTATGATTTTGCCCACTGTCTATGCATGTGTCTTATGAAGACATTTTAAAATAAATTTCACTTTGAAAAAGGAGATTTTTTTCAAATTTGACAACAGACATTATGCTGATTCTTCTATCATAAACTAGATATACATTTTGAGTTGTTTAGCCACTACTTTCACAAGTTTCAGCAAATTAATTACAATCCATTTTACTTAATGGCAAATGTAATTTATGCGGAGGCGAGTGACCTGTTGTCAGAAAGCCGGGAGTAAAATTAACAGGATAAACTAATTATTCTCTAGGATAGTTAAGCTTATAACATAACAAAAATTGTCAGGATCAGCCAACCAATAATCCCCTTCCAGAATGTGTGCTCCACTTTTAGAGGACCTAATAGACTGTGCTCTCTTAAAAAGCAACTAAGGGATTAAGGTCAGTTTCCCAGTACCTGCTCCTTGTTTGATCTTTCTGGCTAAATCTTGGTTTAATTTGGAAAACTCAGTTGGGTTGAAATGTAGATTTTTGCCCATGTGTAACTGATTCCATTGCCTCCCTTGTCACTGCTGTATTAGCTCCTACAGTGGCTCAAATTCTTCTCTTTCTTGTTTTGTCTGTCATGGGGCTTGAACTCAGCCTAGGCATTGTCCTGAGCTCTTTCGGCTCAAGGCTAGCACTCTACCACTTAGAGCCACAGCCCCACTTCTACTTTTATGGTGGCTAATCTAAGAGTCTCAAGGACTTTCCTGCCTGGGCTGGCTTTGAACTGCTATCCTCAGATCTCAGCCTCTTGAGTAGCTAGGATTACAGGCATGAGACACCAGCACCAGCTGTGGTTCAAGCTATTCTGCCTTTGACAGGAAGAGCTCTGGATAAAGCTGGCATTTGCACTACATAAGTCATCAGAGGCATGTTAATGTGTCCACATGTTCCCTGAGGAGGTGCCAGGTGAAGACTTCAGTAACTATGGTCTGGTTTCTGATTCCATTTTACAGAATAACACCATTCCTGTAACTTCATGATAGGATCAAGTGCTGATTAGTTTCAAGTTAATTTTAAGTTATCTTACTCATAAAAACAAAGCAAATAGTAATATATAGAAAGGCCCTTTTATCTGAGTTCTTAGTCATTTAATCACCTATCTTTTGTGTGTGTGTGTGTGTGTGTGTGTGTGTGTGTGTGTGTGTGGTGGTGGTGGTGGTAGTGGTCGTGGGGCTTGAACTCTGGGCCTGGGCGCTGTCCCTGTGCTCTTCAGCTCAAGCGAGCACTCTACCACTTGAGCCATAGCACCACTCCCAGTTTTTCAGTGGTTTATTGGAGTCTCATGGACTTTCCTGCCTGGGCTGGCTTTGAATTGTGATCCTCAGATCTCAGCCTCCTGAGTAGCTAGGACTGCAGGCGTGAGCCACCAGCTCTGGGCTATCTTCTTTCCTTTAGTGGTGAATATGAAAGAAATATGGAATGGGTGCAGATGAAGTGAATTACTTTTACCAGATGAATTGGGGTTGAACAATCAAGCATGCTCCTGAGCATTTTTTATGGTCAAGATAGTTGGTAAAGCATCAAGGGAGTAAGAGAACAGAACATTCATATTCTCTATTTTGTAATAGCTCTTTTTGATGCACTTCTGAAATGCTTTTTTTCCCAAAGAAAATAGAAGATAATTGATATATGTAAATCAGTGAGTATCTTTACAAACTAGTGAAATCATTGGCAAATAGTATATACTATTTGCTTATGGAACTTCAGCAGTAAATAAAGCATAGGCAGATTATTCATCTTTGTTGAAAATTTACTTACATTTGTCTATACTATCTATAACTATCCTTGTTTCTATGTCTGATTACTACATCATAAAACGTTCAAAACTATTTTAAATTCAGTATTAAATTCAAATAATTGCTGTGTTCATGCTAAAACATTTAGCAATGTGTCGTTTTGTTCCATTTCATAAAAATGCTACAGCTTTACCATGCCATTTAGACTTTTAGAAAAATACAAAGTACAGGACATAGATAATTTGGTAAAGAATTTATCATTTGTCTCAAAGACTATTAATTCATAGCTGCTTTAATTTAGAATAGACACTCAGAAATATAGTTCTCAGGGCTGGGCAAGTGGCTCTGGGGTAGAGTTCTTGCCTTGCATGCATGATGCCCTGGGTTCAATTCCTCAGCACTACATAAGCAGAAAAAGCTGGAAGTGGTGCTGTGGCTCAAAGTGGTAGAGCGCTAGCCTTGAGCTGAAGAGCTGAAGGACATCGCCCAGGCCCAGAGTTTCCGGCAAAAAAAAAAAAAAATATATATATATATATATATATATATGTATATATATAGTTTTCTGTGGAGTTTCTCCTAAGTAAAAGCCACAAAAGAAGGTAGTTTGTGATGATCTGTCTTGTGTTCATTATTTTATTTGGCATTTATTATATAATCATATTTTTCGAGAATTACTTTAACTCATATTATGTTGATGACTTCAAAGTGAATTGGTTTAGAAGTATCATTCTAAATTATAAATTATTTCTAGAACATGTTTTCAATTTTCCCCCAAATGATAGTAACTTTGGTAAATAAATAAATGCCTGGATAATGACATATTAATTTTTTATTTAGTGTATGATTCTTCTGCATTCAGGAAAAACCTAAAATTGGCCTACTTGCACTAGGCATCATACACAGGCTTGCTGTATACTGACTGGTAGGAACCTCACAGTAAAATAATTAATAAACAAGCTGGTTTTATATGCAATGGAATAGGATAAAACAGGTAAACACATTTCTTACAAGAGTTTCTGCTATTACAGATATGCATTACCGAAGAAAGACCATTCTACAAAATGGCTAATGGTAAAAAATCAAATATATGGGAGAAAAGAATATTGAAGAAACCCTGAAAAAAAGCAACTTTGTAATAAAAGCAATTAACACAGTGAAAATAAATTCCTGAGTTTTAGAAATTAAGTTCTGGAGTAAACATATCTGAAAATACGATGGGAAGAAGTGTTCCAAGGAGATATAAAGTCTATAAATGCAGAGTAAAAACCATATTAATAAAAGACACTGCTATAATATACCCATTTTTGCAAGTGATTTATATGATCATTTTTATTTCCACTTCATCTACTGCTGAAAGGTCACCTGGTAAAATAAAGTGAACTTTCTGAGTATGAATTAACAAGAAGAATTAGTTTCACTAACTTCTAAAGCATATTACCAAGCCAAAATAATTAAAACTTTGTGACATGGGCTAAAAATTTCTCACTAATGTCTCTGACTAATGCATGGTATTATAATACAAAACAGACAACACAGTGGGAAAACAAAACATTACTTAATAAACATTTTTGGTAAAACTGAATAGCTCCCTGAACAGCAGTGTTTTGAGATCTTTCCATCATTTTGCTTTCTCAAATTTTCACAACCACTAATTAAACATTTAAATGGGAATTACTCAGGATGGTCCAAAGAGTCATAATTTTAACTTCCCCAGATAATTTTCATTTCTGCTTGAAAACCACAGCCTCAGTTGGTTTCAACTCTTTCAACCCCTTCTTAACCGATTTAGCAGTGCAGGAGGCAGGACAAAATTTTTAACAGGTATTTCTGGTTTAAAAAAAAAGTAGAGAATAAACTTTTAAGGCTCTTGAACACTCTCTATCCTGCCGTTGGTCCTCCTCAAGTGTTATGATACAGTCAGGAAAACTTTCCCCTGGAGGCTTCCCAGAGCCCGACTCTTCAGGTCATCCAGGCCTGTATCCTCACAGCATCAACTTACACAAACAGCAGTGACCTCACTCATGCTATCAAATGAACTGAGAACTGGAGCTAAAAAACTCCACCATCTTCACACACCTGTGGCTATTCTGAATTCCATATTAGGCCCAAATTGAATTTTCAAAAGTCTACATACGTGTATTACATCTATTTACTTGCATACAAAATCCAATTTACCCAGATATCTTTTATCTTTTATTAGCACGCACTTGGCTTTCCCTAAAATTGTGTGCATGTGCACACACACACACAAACACACGTGTTAATGTCTGTGTGTTTTACTGAATATTGAACTCTTGCAAGTATTCTACCACCTTGAGTCATACCTCATGGTTATTTTGTGTGCTTTTAGTTTGTTTTTTAGATAGGGTATCATGCTCAATTTGCCCAAATTGGTCTCAAACCATGATTTTCCTTACCTCCATCTTTCTAGCAGGTGGGATTACAGCTACCACAGCTAGACGTTAAAATCTTTTATGGAAACATTTGCTGCTTATATTTTAAATAATAATTTATTCAGAGTCTGTGTCTTAGGGCCTCTCTCTTTCTGTATCTCACAGTGAGGTAGTTGAAACTGCTTGAGAAACACATTTTATAACTACATAAATTCTCAAGACAGGTGTCAAGTCAGTAGCCACCTTTGCTTCGGTCTACCGGAGTCAAGGCTGTTTAACGAAATAGGAAGGTTACACAAAATTCTCATGCATGGAGAGGAACCACTTCCCTATGCTTTGAATCGTTACCTGGCGATGGTATCCAGAGTATCTTACTTTTTATTGTCACCGGCACTGGGAATGACACGTGAGCTGTATTTCTGGAGCTAAAACTTGAGGTTTGTATCTGGCTGACTTGGCTTAAGGCCGAGGCACTGCCAGGTGCCAAGGCTGCGGGAGCGGGAGCGCGGTAACGAGCTGCGGGAGCGTGAGTGAGCGCGGTAACCCAGTGAGTGAGGGGTGGCTCCGGGCCGAGGGTCGGCTCAGGCCGGCTGCGCCGGGGTCTGCGGGCTCTGGGAAGGAGCCCGGGCTGCGTGGCCGGAGGCGGGGCCGTGAAGGGCGGTGCTCCCGCAGCCCGGGCCGCGGGACAGTGCTTGTAACTGGGCGCGCACGCCGCCCACCCAGGGCTGTCTGGCCGCCACTTCCGGCCAGACGCCCCGGGACGCGGGGCCCACCAACCTCTCCAGCTCGATCCCCCGGTTCGACACGAGGGCGCTCAACGGAGGAAGGTCACTTACGACTGAGTTTTTCATCATGGCTTTGACTGTGAAGCCCTCAGACACCAGAGCGTGCGGCTGGTGCACCGGGAGCGGCTGCGGGGCCAGCAGCTTGGTCCTCTTCGGCATCTTGTCGGGGCATTTGTTTAAGCTCAGGGTCTCCTTCTCTGCCACCATCTTCCTAAAAAACTGTCTCGTTGTTACCAAAAAACAGTGTCGTCAGGACCAGTGGGGTTTTCGGATGTGAGAAGGAGTTGGGGGAAAAACGTAGGAAGGCGCGGTGCTGGTAGAAGTTCGCCCCGCGCGGTGCCCAGGTCGGTCCCGGTGTTTGGCAGCTCCGAGGTGAGGGGAGTTGAGGGGAGGGGAGGGGCGGGAAAAGGGCCGGACCGCGACTAGAGCTGCAACAAGCTTCCAAAGGCAAGCCTCCCGGTTGCTAGGCGACTCGTCAACATTGCCGGGGAATAGTCCCGCCCCTTCGTGACGCGCGTTTCCTGGGCCTGAAGCCGGAAAGGGCGGCGGTCGGCGGCGCCCTGAGGAGAAACTGCGCGTTAAAACTACGACTCCCGGGAGGCGCCGGGACGGCCGCGCACGCGCATTGCGCCGGCCGCACGCGCGCGGGAGGGGCGGCCCGGATGACTTCTCCCTGAGAGAACCGCTGGTGGCGGCGCGGGCGAGCGCCAGCGCGCCTAGGTCCTGCTCGCCCAGCCGCTGCCACCTGCAGTGACCATGATAGGTACGTGAGTGCCC